AAGTAAGTTTTATTGAAAATCTGGGCAGACATGTAAGTTTTATAGAGAATCTGGGCAGACAAGTAAGTTTTATTGAGAATCTGGGCAGACATGTAAGTTTTATTGAGAATCTGGGCAGACAAGTAAGTTTTATTGATAATCTGGGCAGACAAGTAAGTTTTATTGAGAATCTGGGCAGACAAGTAAGTTTTATTGAGAATCTGGGCAGACAAGTAAGTTTTATTGAGAATCTGGGCAGACAAGTAAGTTTTATTGATAATCTGGGCAGGCATGTCAGTTTTATTGAGAATCTGGGCAGACAAGTAAGTTTTATTGAGAATCTGGGCAGACATGAAAGTTTTATTGATCTCCCGGACAGACAAGTAAGTGTAGCTGATTATCTGGACAGATATTTTAGTCTAGCTGATTATCTGGGTAGATATTTTAGTCTAGCTGATTATCTGGGCATATATTTTATTCTAGCTGATTACCTTGGCAGATATTTTAGTCTATCTGATTGAAGCACAAGAAATGTAATTCTAGCTGACCAACCAGACAAAGTGTTTATTTATAGCACTGATACTTTCCTTACATAAATATGTTACAAAATCTACCCTGAGCTATTGGGTAACCTGACCAATAATTCTTATTGAAAAACCCACAAAGTTTCATATTCGGGTTTAAACTTCCTAGAGTATCAATGTAAACAAAATGCTCTTGTATTAAACTATCAATAAGTCTGTAATTTAAAGCCGCATAAACCATTAATTTTGATTGGCCTTACAAAAGCTTTAAGACATGTTTATTACCGTCTCTCACTCTTCACGTTCTTTCATACGTGTGGCGGCTATTGGGTTAATGCTGACTCTACTTGGAGGTGGTTTGCTGAGAATTCTTTTCTCTGATTCATACGCAGAAGATTTATGGATTTCGATTAATATAAATTTGTACTCAGCTCCAAGCCGTTATTCAGACCGTCTAGTTACGTTAAAACTGGGAAAAACCAAATGGGCGCTGCCATTTGGGCAATACTAAATGGGCGTCTGTCAACTGGGCGTCTGTCAACTGGGCGTCAGTCAAAAAATACCAACTGAGCAACTATCGACTGGGTATTGTAGTGTAGGAGGACATTGTGAGGTTATACATAAAAACTGTTGTAAACTGCAGTAAGGAAATGTCATTTAGACCTGACTAAATATTTAGATTAACTAAATTTAATTGTTTTACATCAACAGGTCAGTCATGTATCAGTGGTTAGTATATATTTCGTTTAAACAGTATACATATATATATATATATATATATATATATATATATATATATATATATATATATATATATGTGTGTGTGTGTGTGTGTGTGTGTCCATGGGTGTCGCTATACTAATGTGTCGTGTTTGTGTCTATAGGGTGTATAGTGTGTGAGAGTGACTTGCCTTAATGTAAAACCACCAACAATACACTTTAAACCACAGACGAACCATCCACCGTTGAATGTGACCCCGTCTCCCTTGTACAGTCCAACACTTACCTGAGCCTTACCTGCAGGGCTAAGAACACAAGTGCCTCGCTTGGCTGGTTCATAAACGTAAAGATACTATTATATTATTTTGTCAATCGACTAATATCTTTATCGTTGCCAGTGATGCATCCAATGTGTTATGAATTAGATAATATAATACATAAAGTAATATTAATGTCTAATGTAAGATATATCTATTTATATAAGGACAGTATTTAAGAGTAAAGCAGAATTAAACTTTGAAGTTAAATCATCGGTCAAGGCTTCGCAAACCATTATTAGCTTTCGGTTATAGATTTAATAATATTGTTATTGTTTCCATTAGTTTCCAACACTATTATCAGCTATCTAATTCGATAATACAAGCGATAAATAGACTTAAGTCATTTGTTATGTTGTAGAAAAAACTCGATTCTAGATTTAATAAATAATATCTAGGCCTATAAAAACACAGTAAATAATTGCGTTTTAATGCACTATTAGCTTTCGGCTATAGCTTAAATGAATAGGTTAAATCGGGATATAATTTAATTAAAACAATATTTTACTTTATGATTGCGGAGAGTATACTAAATAATACAAACTATTTTAATTAATTGATAAAGTAGAGTCTTTGTAAAATATAACCCACCTAGTCGTAGCTCCTTTATCAACAGGTAACCAGCATTGGTAAGGTTCCGCCTACTACGTCACAAGTCTCAGGTAACACCTGCACACACCTGATCAACTTGGTTGGTGTATCACCTGGACAGCTAGTACTGTCTGTGACAGTATATCCCCAGGGTTGTGACAGCAGTCTGTATGGCGTCACAAGTTCACAGCTACAGGTTACATTAAGTAAGTTCACAGCTACAGGTTACATTAAGTAAGTTCACAGCTACAGGTTACATTGAGTAGGTTCACAGCTACAGGTTACATTAAGTAAGTTCTCAGCTACAGGTTACATTAAGTAAGTTCACAGCTACAGGTTACATTAAGTAAGTTCACAGCTACAGGTTACATTAAGTAAGTTCACAGCTACAGGTTACATTAAGTTCACAGCTACAGGTTACATTAAGTAAGTTCACAGCTACAGGTTACATTAAGTAAGTTCACAGCTACAGGTTACATTAAGTAAGTTCACAGCTACAGGTTACATTAAGTAAGTTCACAGCTACAGGTTACATTTAGTAAGTTCACAGCTACAGGTTACATTAAGTAAGTTCACAGCTACAGGTTACATTTAGTAAGTTCACAGCTACAGGTTACATTAAGTAAGTTCACAGCTACAGGTTACATTAAGTAAGTTCACAGCTACAGGTTACATTAAGTAAGTTCACAGCTACAGGTTACATTAAGTAAGTTCACAGCTACAGGTTACATTAAGTAAGTTCACAGCTACAGGTTACATTAAGTAAGTTCACAGCTACAGGTTACATTAAGTTCACAGCTACAGGTTACATTAAGTAAGTTCACAGCTACAGGTTTGTAACGAAACACCACTCTATCAGCCAGATAGTTGGCGAACGCTCCCGGATTCGTTTAAATGATTATACACAGATGGCGACAAGCCTAAATAAAAGAAAGCTAACACAATAGTTCACTAGGACTCGTACTTGATGTCTAGGGGAAACACTAGAGAAACTACTGATGCCAACAATACATTTAATCTGCATATAACTTTTAATGAGTGTACAAAGTCGTGGCAGAACACTAGATTTATACAGGATAAAATAGGTTTACAGAATGAACAAAACCCAACTTACAATTTGTGGGAAAAAATAATATGATACACTATCACAGCTTTTAACACTTCAGAAAATCACCACAGTTTACACAACGCTGCTATAAGCATAAAGAATTACTTAACCACAAGTAATATAAGAATATGCTGCTTAGTACTACACGGCGACACACAGGGCTTATTATCTCTCAACGATGTCTGGTCAAGTAACTGCCTAGAGAAACCTGTGCGCGGTCTATTTATCGACTTAGGCAACATGGAAGGTCACCTTCAAATCATAAGGCTATTGGTTGGAATATAACCTGGTCCAAATCAACCAATCATCTCATAATGGAAAAGTACTGAGTCTAAGACTTTCTTAAGACAGTGGAAAAAACCAGTGATTACACCACAGACCATATATGGTAAAGTAACAAATGTAAAAATAAAAATTACCACACCTAAGTAGGTCACAGGTTACATTAAGTAAGTTCACAGCTACAGGTTACATTAAGTTCACAGCTACAGGCTACATTAAGTAAGTTCTCAGCTACAGGTTACATTAAATAAGTTCACAGCTACAGGTTACATTAAGTAAGTTCACAGCTACAGGTTACATTAAGTAAGTTCACAGCTACAGGTTACATTAAGTAAGTTCTCAGCTACTGGTTACATTAAGTAAGTTCACGGCTACAGGTTACATTAAGTAGGTTCAGAGCTACAGGTTACATTAAGTAAGTTCTCAGCTACAGGTTACATTAACTAAGTTCACAGCTACAGGTTACATTAAGTAAGTTCACAGCTACAGGTTACATTAAGTAAGTTCACAGCTACAGGTTACATTAAGTTAACAGCTACAGGTTACATTAAGTAAGTTCTCAGCTACAGGTTACATTAAGTAAGTTCACAGCTACAGGTTACATTAAGTAGGTTCACATCTACAGGTTACATTAAGTTCACAGCTACAGGTTACATTAAGTAAGTTCACAGCTACAGGTTACATTAAGTAAGTTCACAGCTACAGGTTACATTAAGTAAGTTCACAGCTACAGGTTACATTAAGTACGTTCACAGCTACAGGTTACATTAAGTAAGTTCTCAGCTACAGGTTACATTAAGTAAGTTCACAGCTACAGGTTACATTAAGTAAGTTTACAGCTATAGGTTACATTAAGTAAGTTCACAGCTACAGGTCACATTAAGTAAGTTCACAGCTACAGGTTACATTAAGTAAGTTCACAGCTACAGGTTACATTAAGTAAGTTCACAGCTACAGGTTACATTAAGTAAGTTCACAGCTACAGGTTACATTAAGTAAGTTCACAGAAGTAAGTTCACAGCTACAGGTTACATTAAGTAAGTTCACAGCTACAGGTTACATTTAGTAAGTTCACAGCTACAGGTTACATTAAGTAAGTTCACAGCTACAGGTTACATTAAGTAAGTTCACAGCTACAGGTTACATTAAGTAAGTTCACAGCTACAGGTTACATTAAGTAAGTTCACAGCTACAGGTTACATTAAGTAAGTTCACAATAGAAACAGTTGAGTTTGGTATTGGATTTAGGATTCGTTAAGCTGCTTTTTGAAATAGAAATTCACAACGGCACTTTCCTAATCAAATTAATAGCCGGCTATAAAATCTAAAAATCACCTGGAACTTATCAAATTGGTATAGATTTTGTAATGTTAGGGGCAAGAATGGAAGAGGGTTGCTCTTTGCAATACACCAACGACCTTCTGTGATATAAAAGCCATGTATTTTTAACAACGTATACCCATAAAAACTGATACAAATATGGAGAACCGATACAGGAGAAATAGAGTTGTCTCTAAATTAAGCTCAGAATCCCCTGATGTCAAGCCATTGACGTGTCAGAGCGCCGAGTTCCCACAATTTTCCGAGGCTGTGTGTACCTGTTACCTGAATGATGCAGGCTTCCCTCCAGGCTACGCCCAATGGTATACAGCAGACGGCAACAAAACAGGAACACTTAACGTCACAGATGGTTCAGCCACATTCCGGCAAATTTTGGGTAAATGATGTGAAAATTTTTACACAATAAAATAAACTAGACTACCCGTTATCATTGGAAAATTGTTGGTTTCATGGTCATCCATAAATTATGTTTCTTTGACCTGCCCCATGTCCCTCCAAATTCCGATCGGCAACTATATCATTCACATCCAAAAAAGAAGTCATATTTTTGTGTTTTTAAAAAATCGCTTTATTTCTATAATTTTTTTTGACCTCGAACCTCATTTGAATAATAAATGAATAGAGTATTAAAGCTAACGTCAAACTAATAATAATGAAAATCAGTAAAAACATCAAGTGACGTCACTAAGCCCAATGAAATGTTTTATTATCTTGTAAAAATAAAGTATTTGTTCTGAACTTTTATAATTAAAGGGGTGTTTCTACAAATGAATATGTTAACAAATTAATTATAGTCTAGAAGTAGAAAAAAAACCATTCTTTACATAAAACAACATATTTTACAGTTATACACATAGTGCAGATGTTGTCTTCTAACGAACAGACAAAGAAAAATAAATAAATAAATAAATAGATAAATATACAAATTTGTAAACGAACTCCAGCTTTAGTAGAATATATAACATGAAGATTTAATCTCGTTTATTTTATTTTGTATCATCTATTCAGTTTCAGAATCAGATGTTGTCGTTCAATGTCGGGCATTCACTGTCCTTCAGACAACACAAGTCAACAGTTCTCAATTTGTTTTCGTTGCCACGGTATTATGTATGTATCGAGTGTTTCTGGTTTTATGGAAGTTGTGGTCGACATTTTCAGGTTTATTTGAATATTCTAATATGTAGGGTTTATACCAAGAAGCACACTTATTTGTTGTATCAATAAACTTTTAGTTGGACCAAACTATGTGGAGCTGACAGCACCTAACCCCTACAACGTATGTCCAGACAGTGCGGGCCTCACTATTGACTGCTCTGTGAAAAAAATTATGGTGGGTAATCTTTTTTTTAACTCTATTTCTTTTCGGGAGGAAAGTCCGATAAAAGTGCTTAAAAACGTTTTAATAACAAGCTTTTATGTGATAATCCACTAAAAGGATAAAATAGTTTTCTTTATATTTATGATAAAATACTACTTTTTAAATAGCTTTAACAACACACACACACACATATATATATATATATATATATATATATATATATATATATATATATATATATATATATATATATATATATATATATATATATACAATCATGACCAACAGGCCAATAGAGAACCAGTTTTTGTCGCCCGTCTAGGAACCATCACCACCAATCGAACTGTGGCCCCTTTTATCACCGACAAATATTATTTCCACCCCACCTTTAAGGTTGACTCGGCAGGAACATACAGCTTGTACTGTAAGGCTGAGAATAAAGTGTTTCCACTAATTTTCTTTGAGAGGACGATGACTATAAATGCACTAGGTTTGACAAAACTATTTGCATATTAACTGATTAATACGTTGTTGGATTTTAAATTATTGGAAACATTTTACTTATTTAAAGCAAATTAATTTGTTTCACTCTTCTCGAACTGACAAACTAAATGCAATAAATAATTATCTTTCTGCTATAGCCACCATCTACATCTACTCTACTAATACCTTTACTAAATTCAGTAAAAAATTATCTTCCTGCTAGAGCCACCATCTACATCTACTCTACTAACACCTTTACTAAATTCAATAAAAAATTAAATTCCTGCTAGAGCCACCATCTACATCTACTCTACTAACACCTTTACTAAATTCAATAAATAATTATCTTCTTGCTAGAGCCACCATCTACATCTACTCTACTAACACCTTTACTAAATTCAATAAAAAATTATCTTCCTGCTAGAGCCACCATCTACATCTACTCTACTAACACCTTTACTAAATTCAATAAAAAATTATCTTCCTGCTAGAGCCACCATCTACATCTACTCTACTAACACCTTTACTAAATTCAATAAATAATTATCTTCCTGCTAGAGCCGCCATCTACAGCTCCTCTACTGTACACGTCCAAACATCCACCCAACTCTGGAAAGTTTAGTGTCCAGGTCAATATTGGCGACACACTAGACGTCACGTGTGTTGTTGATGGGGGTCAGCCAGCCGTGACCAGTGTCACCATGACCTGTTTCAGCAACACAACTACAGTAGCCGGTAACTCGCTGACCATGAGGATAGCCATTGACGTCATCACCATTCGTTTCAGTTGCACGTGCCAGGCAGTTCACGTGACCAACTGCTACTACTTAAAATCTCAAATTTTTTTTACCGATGGATCTGGCACCACCACAATAAAATCTCTAACACGTAAGATATTTAGATATATACTAAAATACCCGTCATCCGTTGGATAACTGTGGGTTTCGGGGGTCATCCATCAAAAAACACCACGTCTGTCACTCAGAGGCATAGCGCCCCTTCCCGGAGCCCGGGGACAAACTTTTCGATTTGAACCCCCTCCCCCCGCAAGATTTCGATTTGCAACCCCTCCCCCCCCCCCCTCAAACTTTTGATGTGCACCCCCCCCCCCCCCACTCAAACTTTCGATTTGAACCCCCCTCAACCTTTCAATTTATTTTTCCAAACCATTTTGGCGCCCCAACATATGTCCCCCCCCCGCCCCCCCCCCTTCCCTTTCCACCCCCTCCACCTCCCTCCGCCTCTCTTCCCCCCCCCCCCCACCCCCCCGCCTCCCCTCCCCCCCCCCCCTCCTACGCTACTGCAGTGTCACTTATCGTCACAAAAACAGACCCCACATTCAAAAATATGTTTTTTATCTTTTAAAAACACCGAAAACACCGATTTCGGACTATCCCTTCATATACTGACGTCACATGTGACCTACTCAACTCTACTTCACCTGCCCAGTGTCCCGCCAAGTCTCAGACAACATGTTTTTATCGTTTAAAAAACGATTCCAGCCGAGCATGTCTCTGACCACACTATCCTTTCATATGCTTAGGACAAAGAAACAGATGAATTCTACTTCACCTGCCCTGTATCCTGCCAAGTTCAGATAGGCAACTTTATCATTCACATCTAAAAAAAAAAAAAGAAAAAAAAATATCATTGACATATTGGTCTAGAACCTGCGCCACCCGCATGAGAGCCGGCTACATTACCAACTTAGCTATTTACTCGTGACGTCACAAATGAATTTTTATACTATACTTTGAGTCTCCTTATGCAACTTGATTTACGCGCATAGATCTAGATCTAAGTCTAGTAGTAGTAACTTTCAAATTAAATTTTATCTTAAATTAGCCTAACAAAGATTTATATAAAATAATTAAGGCCTGAAATAGATTCTAGATGTATTAAGGCCTGAAATAGATTCTAGATGTAGAATTTACATTAAGTCTAGATCTAGAATTTACATTGAGTCTAGTGACCTAGATCTAGGCTAGATCTAGATATCTAGGCTAGATTCATAACTTTCCTTCGACAGCAGATCTTTAGATCTAGAGAAATTCATTGTAAAACTAAATGAAAAAAGACAGTTGAAAATTGATATAAGTGTTGGAACGTTATAAATACAGCAAACGGGCGTATTGTTAAAGTTATGACCGACAGAAAATTAGATTTAGAACGCGTTAAACTTTTGAATGGGAACACAATTTTCTTCGATAGACGCCGCCATTTTATTGTACTAAAGAGTAAACAAAAAACTGTGACGTCACGGTCCCGCCGAGTGTAGTGGTCGTTCTAAACTTTTTAAAAAAAATAGGGTTACTCTACGCATGAATAAATCAATAAATTAATTAACGTCTTTAAATAAATTTGTGATTAACAGTCTGTCTGCATTAAAAAATTATTCTCTACCTACATACTATTTTACAGCTCTCCAGATAGAGTAGAACATATCACAATACTCGATCGGACAAACAAAAAAACAAACAAATAAATATTCAAACATGTAAACAAACTTGACTTTTAGTAGTATTAGATAAATAAACAAGCTAGTTGCGTTGATTACAACTAGCGTTAGATATTCACCAAACGAAGAGGTCCAGAAAAAAATTCCCGTCAGTTTATCTCACTTTTATTTCTGCTGGTCAGCTAATGCCGATGAAAGGCACTTCTTTATGTACTGGTGTAGTGTATATCTCACTTTTAGCTGTGCACTTTAATCATTAATATTGTATCATTCTTCTTGTTACTGGATAAGAAGTTCACTAATAATGTAATCCATGTGTGAAATTTCCCGAAACTTTTTCTGTCTGATAATTTTTCGAGCAATTCCATGATACGAAAATTTCTTGGACACTAGTTCAGTAACAAAATAAATGTAAGTAACAGTACATTGTTCATGATTATCTCAATGATGCATGTTGAGTATATAACTCATCTAAATTACCGAATAGTAATGCATGATTATTCTCATTGTTTGCTGTGCCACAAAGATAAATCAAGCTTGTGTTTATTTTCAGTGTCGCCACCGTTAACAGTAACACAAGTATCGACTATAACAGGTGAATTTCTACTTAATTAACTAAGTAAAATATTCGGTGCTTAAGGCTTTGATTATATTTTTGTACCGCATGCTACATGTTAGTCCATGTTGACATAGAGCAAGACATTTTATCTTTGAAAATAACTACCCTTTTATCTTTTAAAATATTTCTTCTATTCAATCGCTGATAAAGTTGACATACTTTGATTGCAATTTAGCTCACTTCTCGCAAAAATAAATTCGCAGCTTTTTTCTACAGGACATTCAACTACTGCAACAAACACAGGTGTGGGAGTTTCAGCAAACACAGGTGTAGGGGTTTCGTCAACCACAACTTGGAGTGTTTCAGGCACAGTGGTCTTCATTAACCTAATTAGCAGTCTAAAGGGGATATTCTCTGTTTTTTTTTCTACTTTAATTATTTAAGATCTAATGACAATTGAATACTTTAACCTTGTTTGGCGCATGAAAGTAAGTATTAAACGGCTAAAATAAATCGTGGAAAACAAATTTGGTTGTCACAGAAACTTGTTAAAACCTCCGCCAGTTTGAATCTTTTGGTACTTTTAAAAACACTAAGGCTTTTTGTTTGTATGCACTTATAGCAATCAATTTTCACAGTCAGAATTCTACAATGTCAGAAAAATCGAACACGTTTAAGAATGCAAAAGTTTCAAATATTGTATATTATTAACTAGAAACATTTTTTTCTATGAAAGCCATAAAAATTGCCCCGTGGCAAAATTTTTATTTTTGCATGAAGAACAATTACTAAAACATGGTTGGCATTGTTTTATAAATAAAAAAGTAGAAGGCTTCTTTTAGCGTTAAAAAAAACAGAAAAAAGTAGGTCACGAAAATATTATTTCTGTGTAATGTATAAAGCTGATTGTAAGCTTTGGGTGTTTCTGAGGTGATAGAAAATACTATCATTGTTACATTATGTCTTGTTAATGATGCATCATACAATAAGATGACGGATATTAAACTTTGTAAGATTGGGAAAACATGATTATTTTTTAAGTTAGTGGGGTAATAAAGTGGTACTTTAAACACATAAAAAAATAATTGTCATTAAAGTTGGTAATTTCTTAATACTAAAATTGACATAGTATCCAAAAGTGCAAGAAACGCATTTCGACTAAAATCAGGATTTTGGTGATTTTTTTTTAATGCGCATATCTCCTAAAAAATTTAAATTTGAATGTTTTAAAACCGAGTCTGATGTTAATACCATCTAATGTAATTTTTTCCCCACAGGAACTTAAGAAACATGTAGAGCAATCAACAATGCATTCCATAGTTACATTGAACATTACATTGTCAAGTTTAAAAGTTGCTGGAATAGTAATTCAAAACAATTCTTCCAGTTTTAGTTTGTGTCCATTCAAGATTTTTAAAATTGTGTTGATTTACTGTGTTTGAAAGTTACTTATATTTTATCTTTAGGTTGTAGTTTTTTCTATCTTGCCATTGTGGCTTTATATAAATTTATCAGTATGGTCCAGATTTATTCAGGTGTGATGACTTCTTTTACAGAACAAAATCAACAAAAAGGGAATTTGAACAAACCCAAATTGGTAAACGTTGTTTTTTTGTTTATTGGTGCAATGAGAGTTGTAATTACTTCTACTTCAAAATATTTTTCAGAAAATGGCAACACTAATTTCTGGTTAATCATTGGTGTGGCTGTAGCCGGTGCAGTGGTTATCATCCTTATTCTCGTTCTTGTTGTCGCCCTTATTGTGTGTTCTCGAAGAAGACAAGGCCGACCTTCTGCTGACCAACATCCACCTGCTGGAAACAATGACAACAACGGCGCTAATAGAGATTTGAACCGTCCCCAACCCATAGAGATGCAACAACAGAATGTAGGACAACCAATTGTAGAACCGCCAAATGTAGGACGACCAAATGTAGGACCACCAAATGTACGACCACCAAATGTAAGACCACCAAATGTAGGACCACCAAATGGAGGACCACCAAATGTAGGACCACCAAATGTACGACCACCAAATGTAGGAGCACCAAATGTAGGACCACCAAATGTAGGACCACCAAATGTAGGACCACCAAATGTGGGACCACCAAATGGGGAATCAGAAAGTAAGAGTCTCGGTTTAGTACATTATAAAATACTATACATGCAAAATGTCTGGACAGTAATTAATATTTTTCTGTTGATGTACACTACAAAACAGCAAATTCAGATTAGCTTGCATGCGTACCTATGAGAATATCCCCCCCCCCCACATAATTGCCATTTGAGGAATACAATGTAGGACGTTGATAAAATCTAGAACAACGTCAACATCTAACATTACAGGACTGCTCTCAGGGTAGAGTTGTCTGTGGGAAGGGGGGGGGGGGGGGTGCAGTATCAAGGTTATAGCCTAGTGGTAGGATGTTCTAGTCTTGGAGTAAGGGGGGGGGTTGAAGGGTTGCCCGTTGGAGGAGTTGTGGTGTAGTATCAATTATGTAACAAAAAGGTAGGATAATGTAGCATAGGCGTAAAGAAAATAACATTTGGGCCGTAAACGTGATAATGCTGATGTAAATGTGGGAAAACTAATCAAGGAAGTTAATTTATTGGAATTTTAATGATACAAGTGATAAGTTGTATGACATAAGCGGTGTTTTTATTTAGCATATCTATTTAACTTATCTAAACATGTATACACCGTGAACTATTTTATTTTATAGTCATCGTTTTAATAAAAATCACACCTGAATATCCTTAGGTTTTTTTTGCAGGCCGGTACGACGTGCTAGATGAATCGATTGAAGTGTCCACTCAGAGACAAGGTTCGTCTAATTATCTGTAGAACTACAACTGTTTGAGATTATTTTTGCTCAGTGTTTGTCTCCATTTTCGATTAACGACTTAAAACTATCTGCTTAACACAACATAGATACACACCTCAATATATGTATGGGGTAGAAGGGGGTGAAAAGTCACAAATTTCACTTTTAAGATCTGGAGACAAGAATTGTGAACCTTTAACAATGCCAATGCACCAGATACTAGTTTCACATTTCAGATAACTGTATGCAGAGCCGTTTGGAATAGCTGTTCACGGTATGCCCATGACAGACTTGCAAAATTTTGTGATTTAGAATTGTGACATTTTACCCCAGTGCGGGGTCAAAAAGTCGCATGCTTGGGGTGAAAAGTCACACATTTTCCAATGTTATATGGTTGAATCTATTTGATCCCAAAAAAACACTTTTTTTTGCTATTGAAAATAATTTCCCTTAACAATCATGAATATTAATGAATGTTTAAGTAATATAGACTATATATATATATATATATATATATATATATATATATATATATATATATTGTTTCTTGGGGTGATGGGGGGTGCCGCACCGGGTGACACTCGACCAAGCGACGCCACTGGGGTGTGTGTATGAAAATGAGGACCAGATGTGTAATTCTAACACTAAACGATTAATTTTTTATTGTGACACGGGAAGAGACTCAGACATAACACCAGGCCATAAAGAGGACAGTGGCCAAATATATTAATACAGGACTGTACTAATATTTAAGAGAAATGGAAGGCTGTCTTTCAGTTAACAGTTAAAGAATATTTAGGCTGCTTATTTCACGATGTCTTCAATGATTACATGACCACTCTTGTTGCGTTTTGTCCCAGAAATGTCAGACTTTGTCAGCAAAGTAATGATGTCTTTTTTATGCACAGATCATACTTTGACAGTTTCGAAGTTTATGAATTTTTTTTTCACCTTTTCACTACTTTTAAGGTATTCAACCTCAAAGTCCCATTCTTCGTCTATCAGTTTCCTTCAAAATCGGCTGCAACTGCCATCTCAATGGCATGTTCCTCGTGTTGTCTTGCGCTGGTATTGTCTTGGCATGATTCTGTGAAGAAAAAAACTAAAAAAATACAATCTTAACACAAAAAAATTCAGTGATTGCATATGTAATGATTGGCCTATAAAGGTTATTAGTACTGAGTAAAATTATATATTTATTACTACTACTACTACTTGACTTGCCTATTATTATCTTATTCACTGTATACATGATAGGGACATATAATGACACTAGCCATCGGTACCCTTTTCACGTGAATTATAGGCCTATATATTCTAAAATGTTGAACTTGTTTGAGAAAAAAACAATTTATAAAATATTTATTGGTCAAAACGCAATGTGCATTACTACACGTTGAACGGTATTACTGACAAAGCAAAGAAATAGCTAATTAGCTAAAAATCCGACACATTTAACATAACACAGGCACACACTGATTAAGTAACTTAAATGCTTCCGTTAAAAAACTCAGCTTTTCCACGGTATTCTTCTTGTTTTTAAAGTGATTTATTTTTATTAGGTATTTATGAATAGATCTATAGATTTAAATGAAATAGTTCATTTCTTCATCGGTAACCATACCATATTAGTGCACTCGCTGATTAAGAGACTTAAAATTAAGAGACCTAAAAGATTTCTTTAAAAACCCGGCTGTTCAATGGTAGTTATGTTGATTTTAGTATATAGTCTAAATCCAGATCATAGCGTCTACGTCTAGTTTTTCCGTAGATCTAGTCTAGATCTAGAATCGAGATCTAGATCTAAACCTAGAATCCAAATAGATAAAGTAAAAACTTATAAAAGTTTAGGCCGAGAAAATCGTATTTTATACATTTCATAGCGTACGTAGAATCTAGATCTAAATCATATTTGAATGAAATAGTTCATTTCCATATTTTATTCTAAACTCGGAAGATGACGTCATCAGTTTCGTGCTCTTTTTAGTGTAAACAATAAGCGACGTCATTGTTAAATGCTTTCTTGTCCCAAGTATAAACACTTTTCCGGTTGCATAATTAAAATTGTTTTTCTACATTCGAATACGCCTTTATTTTTTATTTTTCTTCTTTAAATAAAATTGTGGTTATACGTTTAAAACATTTAACATTATTTTCAACAAAAGTCTGCATAAAGCTCTTCATATATCGCTGCAGATTCTGATGTGATGTCCGGCGAAAGTATTTTGCGGACAGAGAGAGAGAGCGAGAGAGAGAGAGAGAGAGAGAGAGAGAGAGAGAGAGAGAGAGAGAAAGAGAGAAGTGCGCACATGGACTTTTATATATTAGGATTAATCATTTTGAAATACAAGAAAGAAAAAAGAAAAAAAATATCCTGCATGTTATATATTAAGTAGTCTTCTTTTTTAATGACCTGGGTGAAAAGTCACACCAAAGAAAAAGTGTGACGTTTCACCCCATGGCCTGTGACATTTCACCCCAGCAGAGGGTTGTCATACAAAATGATCCACACTTTCATCAAATCAGTTTCTCAGAAGTAAAAACAATCAATCCAGACTGACGTTATTATGGCTTAAGAAAACTAACATTGCATGAAAACACAAAATAATGAAAGATGCAAGCATACTTACAGCATTTCCTTTGATTAAATTTCCCACTTTGTCAATGAAAATAAGTAGCCTACATGAGGTTCTGAACTCAGTTTCGGTTCAGAGAGTTAAAAATGGAATGAACGCCAAGCAGGACAAACGACTAAAAACCATAATTTTCTTGATGATGGAATGAAAAAGTTCGTATATATATATATATATATATATATATATATATATATATATATATATATATATATATATATATATATATATATATATAAAGCTCAAGCGGGATAATGTGTCTCTGTACGTATGTATATATTTGAAGGCGGACAGCACGTGGCAAGACAGGCATATAATAAAATGTTTACTTCTATCTTTCGGTCTTCGGACAAGCTGGGGGTATTATAGTAGTTCACTAAATTGAATCCTGGCAGGGTTCGATTTGGCGCCCTGTGCTATCATGTGAACGCTGGGTGCAAACGTACGTTTTAAACGGGCCTTCCCTTGAACGATATGGTGCCTACTGTCGGTTTAGTGAGTTGAATAGACTATAAATCGGATGGGGTATTAGAGTTTTTTTACCCTGCAGGGTGCGATTGGGTGAGCACTTTGAGTTTATAGTTGCATTTAAAGTTTTGGTTAATTTCTGCGTTATTTTTTGCGTTTTGGTTTGCGTTTTTTTTTTTGCATTTGTAGTTGTGTTTGCGTTTGAGTTTGTGTTTACATTGATGTTCATGTTGTGTTTGTGTTTATTTCTGCCTTTGTGTTTGCTTTTGTAATTGCTTTAGTGTTGACCTTTTTTGTTTGTGTTTAAATTTGTGTTTCCTTTGGTTTTTGGATTTGTGTTTGCGCTTGTGTTTATGTTTGCGTTTGTGTTTTGTGTTTGTGTTATTTTTGCATTTTTTTTGTGTTTTTTGTTGGTTGTGGTTAGTGTTAAATATTTTAAGTTAGAGTTGGGTTCAGGGTTATGTGTTCTTTTTTCAAAAGTCTTAGTCGGGTATACGCTGCTTAAGTCATGGTCCTTTACTGATAGGCTTTTCACACAGGCCAGTGCAGGGCCTGGCAGGGACGGCCAACACATAAAACAAACAACCACAAACGGGTTACAAAACAAGACTGAATGAAAACAAAGGCTCGTTAAAGCTAAAATAATTTAATACACTATCTACACCTAACACAGTCTATTCTAAACACAAAAATACACAAGCTAGTAAAACTACAATACAGTGGCTAAATACTGGAGATCTGGACGAAACTGAGGCAAACACACACGTTTTCATACACCTCATATACCCTTTCATAAACTGGTACAAACCAGACTATTAGAAACTCACAGCATTTAAGATTGTTGTTTGCAATACACATTTGCTAATTCTCTGTAAAAAAATTGTATGGTTTTGTTTACTTCCGCTTTGTAGGTCTGCTTCAGTTGTTGCACAATTATTAACAATTTAATCTGAAATCCGATTTTTTTCTACTTTCTCGTATAACGAGTATAGAGGTAGTATTGTAGTTGTGCGAAAAAATCGAAATTGCGACTATTGACTATTGACTAAAAATGTATATAATTTGATTTTTCTATTAAGTATTGGTAATCTTTGTTTGTTATTGTAAATGTGCCGGATTTTTAGCTATTTAGTTATTCATTTTCTTTGTCATTAATATCTCAACGTGCAGTGATGCGTTTTGACCAATAACTATTTTATAAATTATTTTATAATTTTTTTACAAATAATTTTAACATAAAAAATATACAGGGACTATAACAGGGACGTATAACAGGTATGGACTGCTAGTAAAGTACTAATGTTCCACACTATTATACACTTATTGTTTGCTGTTCATTTGGTGCGCAATTATTTTTTCTACGAGATTCTATTTTTCAAAGTTTTAAGTATTTAAAAATTAATTAAAAATCATGTCTATATCCCGAGTTGCGATCCCCCGTATAGTTATATAAGAAAATTCGAGAAAGTTTAAGGGAGATCACCCCCAGTTTGTTCAAACTGGACCCTAAACAATACAATTTACTAGTTACAAAGTGGAATAACTGCCAAACTGTTCATTATAGAACTAGTCGTAGCCTCGTTGATTAAAATAGCTTCGTCTTTGTATATGTGTAAGTATCAGTCTACGTGTGCGTGCAATTTCATCTGCATGAGCATGTGTAAATGGTAGTGTATGTGAATTGTGTTTATATGCAGATGTACGCGTTCCCAATGGAGCAAGTAGCAACAGTGTCCACCATTATTCAGCCCCACAGCCTTCAACTCAGTATGTTGCCTCATACATGAATCCTGTATAAAACAACGGTACGCTCAAACAACCAGATATTTTCATTTTGATTCCATTCCACTTCTACACGGAACAAAATAGCACGAACTTTACACTAATGTAATGGGATACTTGACTTACAATTTTACACTAATGTAATGGGATACTTGACTCACAATTTTACACTAATGTAATTAGATACTTGACTCACAATTTTAACGAGTAAATTCTGTTTGATGTGACGCAAAAGCTGCCTAGCGATGCATCGAAATTTCTTTACAAGCTTTTATTTAACTCACTTCCTCGTCAGTCGTCAATCGTCAGTCTAGATCGAAACGCTCGAGCGAAAATTTGGACACTTCTACTTAACAGATACGGTTTACAGTTGGCACGTGGGTCAAGACATGAAGACAATGCTATCTGAAATTAAATTTGACTTAATTGGATGCCTAATTAATTTTTTATTTTGACCAAATTAGTAGCCTTTTCTATCCAACCACACCGCACGCGTCATCACGTTCAATAGCGCGTCATCACGTTTTAATAGGCGCGCAATGGTTTTTAGTCATGAAACATGTAAAGTACTAAAAAAATTTTCATGAAAAAACGTTTTAATAACAAGCTTTTAAGTACTAATGCACTAAAAAGTAGAAAATAAATATAGACTACTATTTAAATAACTATAAAGAAAAGCGTGGGTCTCTTCCTAAACATTAGTAAAGGTATCCAATAGATACTAAAGTGACCCACGCTTTTCTTTATAGTTATTTAAATAGTTGTCTATAATTTATTTTCTACATTTTAGTGCATTAGTACATCAAAGCTTGTTATTAAAACGTTTTTTATGAAATTTTTTTTAGTACTTTACATGTTCTTAGACGTGGATGCTAAATGAGAAGGAAGGAGTGGGGTGGGGGATACAGTCTGTATTTTACCTACCATTCTTGGTAACGATCTCGGGTCTACACGGTTAGTAGGCACTGCTCTACCAATAGACCATGCTGTACGTACGTATTATCGAACTCGAACCTTTAAACATATATTTAAAAAAAATAATTGTATTAAGCTTGGTAAACGTACGTGACGTTTCGTTTAGAAATTGTATGTGTATGTGTGTAATCAAATTTTTACTTGTTTTAATTATCTTTTTCTTTCTTCTAATAGGTCTTGACATTAGAAACCCGTCATACTTTTATTATGAGCCAAGAGATGCCAGCAACGGTCTATGAGTTATAGTGATGTCTAATGTTAACTTGTCCTTTCTACATTTAAAATATATGCTTACAACAATTTTACTGTAGTGAAAACGTGTTACCTTTTATATTGTTATTTAAATTGTCCTTTATACTATTAGTAAACTTTTCCGTGTATTTTTAGGAGAGATTTGTGAATACATTTTTTGTTTAACTGAGTAATAACATACAGAAATATGTGTTGACTTCTGAAATTGTTCCCTCCATTCTTAACCAACTTGATTATTTACTATCAGACACTAAAGTACAATATTATTTTTTATATGTTTTATACATTTCTCTTATTTATCAGACTATATAACAGTAGCTTGTTGTTTTATTTAAGTGATGAAACACCAACGTTCATCTTATTTTGTACATCATATCCACTCTTAAAATAGGACTGAGAGCAGTTTAATTCTTAAAGATCAAATGAACTGATGAAAATACTGGACTCTAACTAAAAGCTACATGTGCACGTAGCTCTGTTAAATTTTGATAGGTTAGATTAAATATAACATGAATTAAACATCGCTTTAATTATAATATTTGAACATTTTCTTTTTGTTATAGTATTTCGCTACTCGAACGAAGCAGATTTTGTCAGTCTGTCTTAACATCAAGCAGTTATTGACGGTTGAGGACAAAAGTACCACATCCAAAAAGCTGACATTATCGAAACGGAGAAAGCGGACAAATGCCTAAATTATCCCTGCCGACAGACAAAACAATACACTGGTTTTTTCTAGATCAGCTTTATTACACGGCCAAGCTTAGCCGCGTTTACCCATTTGACTAAAGAACGTCGCGAACAACTTCTAACAGAACTTTTTAATACAGAACGCCGTATAGGTTACATTATAATTTTATATAGCCCTTAATGATGTAAACAAAAATAAATCTAATATATAAAGCTTAATTCTGTATGTAAAAATAAGTTTGTCGTGGATACTTCGATGGATTTAAGTGTTAGATTATTATAGTGCTCAAGGTCTAAATTTATGAGTTAAACAAATTAATACTGAAAGTGTTGGGAAATAATTATCATTTTTCAAACTGATAGTAATAATTGTCGGCATGTTCATTAAACACTATTTCAAAACAAAAATTAATCTTTTACAAAAATTCTAATTATGTCTGAAAATTATTTATATTTAGTCCTTTAGCGCTTACTTCCCTTTGATAAATTAGGAAAACACAATTACTTCCCTTTATAAAACATTGCATTGGTGGAAAAGAATTTACTTTTTATTACTTTGTTTTGGTGTTGGGAAAAAAATAATTACATAATTAGCGGGGATTAATCAAGTGCAAATGTTGTAGTTATTTTACGGATAAGCTTGGAGTATTATAATTGTTCATTAAATTGAAACAGACGCGTCCGCCGGCGCCCCACCAGGGTTCAATTTGGCGCCCTGGGGCTATCCTGTAAGCGCTATGGTGCATAATTTCGCTTTAAACAGTGCGATAGGGTATAGATAAGAAAGGTTACTATAGTCTTTAAGTGAATCGAATCCGGGCGTCCTTTGGCGCCCAGACAGGGTGCTATTTGGGGCCCCGGGCCTCCCGTGTTCGGTTTGGCGCCTACGTTCGTTTATGTGAGTGCAAAAGACTATGAATAAGTTGGGGTGCTATAGTCGTTTATTAAGCTGAAACAGGCGATTCCGCCCCGGGCTAGACTGTAAGCACTTTGCGTTTATGTTCTTTGTGTTTAGGTTGGGTTTGCGTTAGTGGTTGCGTTTTGATTTGGTTCGTTTTTGTTCTTTCTTTTTTCGTTTTCGTTTGTGTTTTTTTCTTTGGGTTTGTGTTTGTATCTGTGTTTGTGGTTGGTTTTGCGTTTGGATTTGGTTTGTTTTCGTTTGCTTTTTCGTTTGTGTTTTTTTCTTTGGGTTTGTGTTTGTGTTTGTGGTTGGTTTTGCGTTTGGATCTGGTTTGTTTTCGTTTGCTTTTTTTTTTCTTTGTTCTAGTATTGGTGTTTGTGGTTGTGGTTGCTTTTGTTGTTAGGTTTTTGTTTTCGTTTGCTTTTTTGTTTGTTTTTTCTTTGTTTGTATTAGTGTTTGTGGCTGTGGTTGTGTTTGTTGTTAGGTTTTTGTTTTCGTTTGTATTTTTAATTGTGTTAGCGTTATGTTTGCGTTTTGTTGTTTTGGTTTTGTTTGGTTGTGGTTTGGGTGGGCAATGCCGGGTTTATGATGATTACTAAACACACAGGTAATGGTCTTTAACAGAAAGATTTTTCACAGAAGCAAGAGCAGGGCCTGGCCGGGACGGCTAGTTATATATATGCAGGCTTTATCAAACACAGGTACCGAAGCTTACCAAGCCTTGTTATAAATAATGCATTGAATACGATAAGCCGTATTGTAAAGCGTATTGTAAAGCGTATTGTAAAGCGTGTACAGATTGAATGGAAACATGTGTTTGCGTTGGTGCTAGTGGTCGTGTGAAAATGAGCTTAAACATGGGCGTATGTGTAAACCTAAGGGTGCTTAAAGCGTAATGCGAAATTTAAGTGTAACAACTGTGCGATTTCTATTTTTACTTTCTCGTATATACAAAGTATAGAGAAAGTCTTGTAATCGTGCAAAAAAAAAAATCGAGATATTTTCAAATCTCGACGTTTTACACCTCACTGATACGGAAAAACATAATTTTGCAATCTTGTCCGTATGTTTGTGTGTCTGTGTGTGTGTGTGTCTGTGTGTGTGTAAACACGATAACTTGAGTACCGTTACAGCTAGGTTGATGAAATTTCATATATCAGTATTTTATTAAAATATAAGATCCGTTTCAACTTTTGAGCGATTTCCGATAACCGGAAGTGGAACTTTTTCTACTTTGAATTTTTCAAAAGCCTATAACTTGAGTACTATTTCAGATAGATAAATGAAATTTCACATGTAAGTAAAAGATTTAATTCACTACCTTCTTTCAAATGTTGAGTAATTTCCGTTGACCGGAAGTACTAATTTACGATATTTCCGATTTCTCAAAAAACGCATGTAAATTTTTAAAGTACTAATAATATCGCGCACTATTATGCACATTTCATTTGGCATTCACTTGGTGTGCAATTCTTTTTTCTACGAGATTTTATTCTATTTTAAAAACTTTAAGTATTTAAAATGGAGTTCCCATCCCCTGTTGTTTTATATAAGAACTAGCCATCGGTACCCGTTTCACGTGAGTTATAGGCCTATATATTTTAAAATGTTGTACTTGTTTGAGAAAAATAATTTGTAAAACAGTTATTGGTCAAAACGCTATGTGTATTACCACACGCTGAACGACACATTTAAAGTAAAAACTAATAAAAGTTTAGGCCGATAAAAACGTATTGTATATATTTCATAGCGTACGTAGCTCTAAATCATATTTAAATCATATTTAAATGAAATATTTCATTTCTTTTTTTTATTCTAAACTCGGCAGATGACGTCATTAGTTTCGTGTTCTTTTTTTTAGTGTAAACATTAAGTATTAGGATACTCGAGAAAGTATAGGGGAGACCCACTCCCGGTTTATTAAAAATCGGAATTATAACGTACGAGTAGTTTAGATTTATAAGTAGGTTATCTTCGGAGTATAAGACCCGTAAAGTATCACATTTTGAAATAGATGCGCTTAATTTCCTCTAGCGTAAATCGAATTGGCATAAATTTTGCAAGCTTTTTATATCTTCTTTCTTCTTCTTCTTTCTTAATTTTTAGTGTTGGAAGGGATCGAGTCTTATCTGTCAGAGGGTTTGCACTCGTGACTTTTTCCAATTTATCAACCATGAGCTATTTGCTGACTGGTTATGCCATTTACTCCGATTTCAGCCTGCTTTTCTTTTTGGATTTGCTTCCATAGCCTTTGCCCAACCAAGAACAAACTACAAGGCAAAGTTGTTTGATTTTGGAGTTGTCTCTCCTAGAACGAGCCTCATCTGCCCGAGGATTCGAACTCGAGACTTTTCGGTTTTAGCAACCATGAGCTTTACCGACTCGACCACACCGACCCCTTCTTCATATTGAACAATTTTGAAAACCTTTTTTGCATATTCAAATATAAAATAATACTTGGATACACATCGCCTTAATATTTTACACACTCCGTCTCAGGCGAATGTAAACAAACCTAAACTTGCAGGGGATTTTTGGACCAGCTCATAATGGGGAAATTTCCAAAATGTATTAATAGTATCTAAACTACGGAACGGCAACTCAGTGAATCCCTTTAGAATGTATTTTAGTTCGAGTTACATTTGATATTTTCAAATACTGGATTGATGTTACACGTTTGATGCATGCTAGTGCCGTTTTTGTTTTTACTAAGTAAAATTTAAAATGCGTAATTATTTATTTATTTCAGTAATTTTTCTGTTAAGTAAGGAAATCTCAAGTAAGAATTTTTATATTTAATTATTTAAAGAAAGAAATATTTAAATTATGTTAAAGTTTTTATCAAAACGTATACACATGCAAGTACCATGAACACATTTAATGTAAAAAAAAAAATACATTTATTGAATCCTCACTGTTTTATAAAAACTTTATCCAATCTAGTTGATAGATCTGCAGAGGTAGTTGTTGCCTATCACTTGGATTGTGTGAAGTGTGATTCGACCAGTGTTGTTGTATTATTTACCCCAGGGTTGAATGCGGGTACACAAGGAGTCTGATCGTTGGTTATAAGGATCTTGGTCAGAGAGGATTAGGGTGAAAATGGATGTGAAATGTGTAACAAGAGTAAACAAAGCGCTAAAAATATGGTGCAGTTTGGTGTTAGACTTACTTAAGCATTGTTATAAGCTTGCAGTTTAACAGCGAGAATTACCATTTCTAATCGAGTTACCTTCTGCTATAGTTTATAATTTTCTCGCAAGAGTTGAATCTTACTGTTAAACTCTACAGGTTTAATTTAGATAAACCGTGTTGTATTTATAACGTAAGAATTCTGTTTTTTTTCCCAGATCAATTATGTAAAGAAGGTAAGTTATATTAAATATGTTTTTAAAT